GAGAGGCAGGCAAGCAAGAAATTTTACAACAAATGTTCCGAAAATTCTAGATCTCAAATCGTCTTCCGAACAGATATTTTCCGAAAATTGTCGTTGGGTGTCCCTGAATAGTTTATGCAGAAAGGGGGCAAACGGTGTATTATGGGGAACTCAAATCATAGCATGTTATGTATCTATACTATCGTATTTTAATCGACCCAAATTGAGAAAATCACCATCATCTAAAGCTGAACCTGCGATCACTTACAATCGAAAGTTTTACCCAAAGTACCTTAACGAGCGTGAAGAGGAATAACAGCAGCATTTTGCCTTTGTCGACGTGTAAATAATAACAGGAGAGCTTTCCTGTACTCGGGCATTCTTATTGTGTAAACTAAGGGATTAACAAACGAGTTTGTATAAAATAAAAGCAGTAAAGACATATTCAATCGCTTTATTTTTGTGTCAGAAAGTGATCGAATGCTATCAGTTGTATGATAAACAAAGGTAGCTACAGTATATGGTAGCCACAAGAGTACTGATACAATAGTCATGATGAGTAACGTTACAGTCAGTTTTCTTTGCCTACGAGCTGCACCATGGTGCTGAGGACGCGCCCCACAACAAATTTTGACAATAATCGAGGCGTAACAAGCACAGGTAACAAAAAGACATAACACGCAATATGATTCCCGTAAATACTGATGATGTGACCACGTTTTGCCGAAAAAAAAAAGCATGATAGTGGCAGCTGACATCATCCCAGCTAAAACCCAGACCACACAAATTGTTACCCGGTGGACCCATTTTTTGATAACGCGATGACTGAATGGACGAAATGTCGCATGCATCCGCTCTAACGAAATTACAGTTATGTTTGTAAGAGAAGTAAGAGTAAACCAAAGGGAAACAAAGTACACTGAAATATTCCCTTCCCGAGGTAACCTTACAATAACAGTTTTGCATGCTTTGTGTGTATTAATTAAGAGTAGATAAAAAGTTGAAAGTCCTCCAACCAAAATGTCAACTACGGTCAAGTTTATAACCAAATACATGCCACGAGTGCGAAGATTACTGTTTGTTATAAAAAGAATGATTGATAGGAGATTCACTGTTACTATAGCAACAGCCACGACAAGGTATGCAGCAAACCAGATAATGCACTCGGATGAGGAAAACATCGTGGATTTTTCTTTTCAATTCCCGTCTTCTTTCAGGCTCGGCTACCTATGAAAAGAATTCGCTGAGTAAGCAAGGATTGCTTGGTTGAAAGAGAAAAGTTAGCAGGTGAACTTTAAAGAACGACTTCAAATCCTCAAAGATCTACAATGGAGATATATTCAAAGGGCGCTCACCTCAATCCTAATTAAGCTATTCATTGATGTCTTCCCAAAAATTGAATCAAAAGTCTTGCTTTCACCTTTGACAAAAAAAGACAAAAGTAGCGCTTGAGGTTAGAGTAGGATGAATTTGTTGGGAGCCAATATGGGCAAAAAATTTATATTCAACCTCGGTTACTGGAGCTAAATGTTTTACTTATTAAAGGTAAACCTAAAATAAGTCGGCGCTCCTTTGTATGAATCACTAAGTCCGGCAGGAATTCAGTGTCACCAGTTGTAGCAGTGTCATGAAAATGATCACCATTAAACGTCCTCTAAGATCATCAGATAAATAAATTCGGATTGACAAGAATATTCCCCATTAACACCGAATGCCAAAATTGCCATCAACAAGAGTCGAAAAACTACACAACATTTTCTCCACACGCTTTCAGAGCTAAAGTAGCCTGTTCCAGGCTCCGAGATGGTGGTGGAAAGTCGTTCAGTAATAAGAAATGCGAAAAACGCGCGGGGGCTGGGGAGAGACAGGGCGTCGCCACCGCCCCCTTTACCGAGTCGTGCGCGTCTTATTTTCGCTTTACTCGTTTTAATACAGTCCCACTATACTATCTGAGAGCCTGGCACAGGCTAGAGCTAAAGGTGATAGCATTTGTCACGTGTACCCTGTGGAAGATTGCGTGAAGGGGCTCCAAGGTAGACTGTTCACAGTCCCCTATTTTTTCGTGAGATCGTTTAGATATACCGCGTCTTACCGTCACGGATATCTTGATTTTTAAATGTAAGTAGTTTTGACACTCATGCAAGATGGCAGCCCGTAACACATAGCGCTCGATGTCGACGATCTTACGGAAAAATAGAGGACTGTGAACAGTCTAGCTCCAGGGTAATTTATTCAAATTACCATACACCTAACATGACATCAGATTACACGTCTCTTTAGGCCGCAACCGTTTTATAAATCAGCGGAATGTTGAAATTTCAGTTATTTGCTAGTTTTTAAGTCATGTTATGAAGGTGAGCTGCAGAGCCTTGCATCACGAGAAAAAATGGACACTGAAAGGTAACTTTGTAAAAATCCAGGACTTGCGTTTAAGACTCATTTTGTAGAAGTGTCATTTGTAATCATGATTCCGACTTCTTGTTATGTTCATTTTTACTAAAGTAAATCTATCATCTAACCTAGTTTGTCGATAGTTTATTGGGGCATTTCGAAAACAGCTCTTGAAGCCCTTTGGACTTGACCAGCCGGAAGCATTTTTACTTCCTAGTTCAGCATAGACCTTGTCACGGTTTCGACGCCATCTTGACGAGTAGGCAAACGCGTGAGAAATTACAGTGTTTGTATGAGAATGTAATGTCGAATAATTTCCGTAGGATGGCGGTTCTGGAAATAAAAATTGAGGGCGTTAGATGCGCTAGAAGACTTAGAACCACCTTTTAAAATTTTCTATACATTTGTCTGTAAGAAAGTCGGGGGAAAAATTAGAAACAAATATATGGAAAATCTAAAGCAAGCCTCTGGAGAAATTTAAGTACAGTTACGCCTCCAAAAAATTTTGAGTACAATCCCTTGTTTTGTAGCTTTAGTTTACAAGTCATATTTTTTTCAGAACAGCCGTTTTACGGAAATCATTCGACATTAGATTCTCATACAAACACTGTAATTTAGCTGTAATTTCTCACACGTTTGCCTAGTACTCGTCAAGATGACGTCGAAAACCGTGACAAGGTCTATTTCTGAAAATGGTCACCCGACGCGATTCTCAGTTGCTTATTTTTCAGGATTTATTTTCTTTTTATATTTTTCGACGGACAATTTCGCCTTTTTAGCTTTTCAGATAGCAATACCTATTTAGAAACCGAAATTTCCATCATCTCTTAACGCTTTGGTGAGCTAAAAATAACTTTGGTGTGATTTTTCTCCTTTGTGTACACGGTTTTCGCTTTGTTCACATTTCACGTTCCTGTCGCTTACGGTGGCCCATAGGGCTATATTGAAAATTTTATTTTTCGCAAGCGTTTAAATTCTCAGAGCTGAAACTTCAGATCTAGTTAAAAGAATCATAGCTCTTTTATTTAGTGTAATCATATTTTATATTTGAGACATACCAGAATCGACTTTTTGTGGTTAAAGTTTGACGTTATTTCGACCGCCAAAACAGCACACAATCAAGGTGCAAGCAATGAAAGCCCGAAACTATATTACAAAAGTTATTTTGCGAGACATTTTTATGCAGTCTTAAAGCTTTGAGTAACTGGTAAATGCATGTGCAACATCAAGTCAATAGGAGCTTTTGCGCGCTTGTACTGCTTCCTTGAAAATTGTTGAAATTTGCAGCAATTTCGAGAATAAAAAATGTATTTTTATCGAACATTCTAGACTAGTACTAGGCGTTATCAATGTATTTAGAAGGAAAACGTTGTTGGGGGCCCCTGAAATGAACGTGCTTTGGAAATTGGTCAGTGGAAAAACTAACCTCCAGCAAGAATCCTTCGGAATTCGATATATGAAGCATCAAGTCTTTCCTATTATCGGAACAATTATTACAAAGCGCAACAGAGTAGCATTGTGACAACTATTTTTTGACGAAGTTTTAGGATACGCTTCTGCATGCCACATTAAACTGCGATGTGGCGCTTAGGCATCGCTTTCATGCTTACGTCGTAAGTGTGTATGTACGAGCTCCAGAGTTCATTGTCTTCCAGATGGCTAATGTAAGCATCTCTTACTGAAGGAGAGAATTCACGTGTTTAAAAAACTGTTCAGCAACTAGATAACTTCACGCTCCGAGAACTCTGCTGCCCGCTGGAAAATTATTTAAGGGTTTTCTAAGTTTTATCGTAGTTGTTCACATCACGGTTTCTAAATTATACTGCCGCTTAATATTTTGTTGGATGTCTCATCGATTTCCCGGCTTACTAGGGTCGTTTCTTACCTTCACTCACAAGTCCTGTTATGGCTGACTGATCTCAAAACGAAGCCAACTTCAGTTTGCGACAGGCACATGAAGTCAAGGAAGTTCCCCCGTACGTGTTTGATTCAGAAGTTCCTCAGGAAAAAAGCATCGTTTTAGTACATGATCCACACCCCCATTTGCTGAAAAAGTTTTTTTAAAAAAACTTTTGCTCAATTCCAGCTACCATTTTCCTTTTCTTAATAATCACTGAATAAGCAGCACGGAATTAAGTTAATGATGCAGACAGTTAAGGCATAAACTGTTTTTAATAATGGGTTGTGACGTTTGAAATCGCTTAAATTAATTTGTGAGGTGAAGGAGCCTGACGGGTTTCTCTTCCTGATTCCGGCCTTCCTTTGATTGCACCTGTGTTTTCGATGTGTAGGTCAGTTAACAATGTTTTATCAACAGTTTCTAAAGTAGTCTAAAATGTACATTTGCTCCTTTCCAATATTAATGCATGTATGTGGGAAAATACATCATAGAACAGAAGATCATGTTAGGAGAAACATATTTGGCCGGGCAAAAATGGCCCGTGACCTCCCAAGTTGTTGTGTGAGCTTAAGGGTATCTTCTAACTTCTCTCGCAACTCAAAAACGTACTGGTAACTGTTCTTTACTTCAGGCTCCTCAACTTCCTTCGTCCACAGCTGTTTGAGTATGGTCATTGGTCCTCTAACAGCTCTTCCATATAAAAGCTCGAACGGCGAAAAACCAGTGGACCCTTGGGGGACTTCACGATAAGCAAACAACAGTGGGTTTATGAAGCGATGCCACTGTCTTGGCTGCTCACTACACAGTCTCTTCAGCATAGACTTCATCGTTCCGTTGAACTTCTCCGTCAAGCCGTTACACATCGGGTGATAGGGCGTTGTTGTAAGCTGTTTAATGCTTAGTAGTCGGGTTACTTCTCTCATGCACTCCGAGACAAACTGTGTGCCCAGATCACTCAGGATTTCTTCAGGTACTCCTAGACGGCTAAAGATATCCACCAATGCCTCTGCTACGTCACAGGACTTGCAAAATCGAGTCACGTCACTTTGAATTCCAGGCCAATAAAACGCACTCTGGATCTTGTCGGTTGTTTTCTTGATGCCCATGTGACCGCCCATTATCGATCCGTGAGCCAATTCCATTATGGGGCGCCTCAACTTTTCAGGTACCATGACTTGTTTAAGCGGTTTTCCACCATTCACATAAGGGTACTTGTACAGACGGTACAGTACTCCACATTTTTCTTTAAATGAAATCTCCGCCTGACCCTTTACTAGCACATCGCCTCGATCCCAGTACTTTCGCAGGCTCTCATCTTCACGCTGCATCTGCTTGAGCTTCTCTCTATCCACAATAGGGCTCTCACGGCTACTTGGCACCTTCAACGCTGTGCGTTCATCCTTTTTCTTAGCTTGACTTCTTGTAGTTGCTGCACAGGCCTCTTGCCAACTGGGGTCTGGATTTTGTGCGTTCCTGGCATCAGGTACGTTGCCAATGATCAGGTCGTAGATAGGATCTGAAAGGCACTGCGCTTCTACGTGGCCCTTAAGATAAGGCGTATCGACATAAATTCTTGCTATGGGCACCTTCCTTGCAGTGTTGTCAATAAGCAACATAACGTTAAAGTCTCCAGTGAACTGATCCACGCCGACGAGGTCCTTCTTGACTACAACTCCACTGCAACCAGTATCTCTTAAAACGTCAACAGTCTTCTCTCCAACTCTACCCTTTACAACAGGCATCTTACTTCTTACTCCAGTTAAGGGTTCAACACAGGCATTACTCAGCAACGGGACTTTCTTGCCACAGGCTAACAGAAGCTGACCATCTTGAATACACGACTTGACTTCCTCGGGGGTAGCGTTAAGATCGGGTGACTTAACCAAACAG